CAAAGGGCAAGAGCCTTTGAGACAGTGGGGTAATGGGTAATGTTGTTGTTGTAGCTCAACAATCAAGCAAAGTACAAACCAAATATATGCATGATTATTAGTCTTGAAATTGTTAGCATATTAGCTGATTAGTTTTCAGTTACGAATTAGTTTTGGATAGTTAAGTTTGTTATGGTGACGTGGCAAACTTATCTTATCCAAAACTAATTCGTAACTAAAAACTAATCAGCTAATATGCTAACAGAAATTGTGAAGCACGTGACATGATCACACACCATAGTCCACGATGGAAGTTCAAACACAAAAAGAAACCCATCTAAATTCACAACTGATGAGTAAAGTGAACAAAACTAACACACAAACGAAACACTATAGAAATCTGGAAGTCTAATCCAAATCATCATTACTTGAAGTAGAAAAACAAAAAAAAAATCTAGAAATATTGTAGTGTTAGTTTTCCTAGACAAAAACAATTAAAAGAGTGTTCGAAAAACTTGAACAAATTCAGGAACACAGAGCTATGGAAGTGTTGGCAGATTTAGAAGAATTTTAAAAAGAGCTCTATAGAGTTTACAACAGAATTTTGTAGGTGTAAACTATTGTGCACATGACTACAATCAATTTGATTGTTATGCAATACTAGAGTTTTTTATTTTAAAGAAATACTCGTACGTATATATACAAGAACACAAGTACACAATAACTTAGTTTCGCACTCGCAGGGACAATGGCTTTCAATAAGCATCCTAGACAATCTTAACAAGTAAGCTTTGAGAATGGATTTCTCGTTCACTCAATACCCATTTAGAGCGATATTGAACTGATTAACTCCCAAAGGCCAAGAGTCATTATTGGCAATGTTCTAAATTTAGGTACATTGTGGACTAAATTAAAATGGAGCACTCTTTGCTTTTTACTATAATTAGGCTTTTCACTTTTGGGTAGTAACTAGTAAATACAGCAATGCATTACAGAAACAGTATCTCTGTTCTTTACTTGGTAAGACTGTCTTGAGTAGTAGTCCAAGGTGTTATATGTGAGTTTGTATTTTAAAATTTGGGCTATAACTGAGAAAACAAATCATGAATTCAAGTTAACCTGTATCAAATTGTTCCTTTGCAGGGCCGGCCTCGAAAAATGAAAAAATGAAATTGGCCCGGTCTAAATTTTCATTTTGGGTCCTATTTTATTATTTTAGAATACTTATGCTTCAAAATTAATGATGAATTTAAAAAATTAAAAATATGGAGCCCCAAAATTTCAGAGACCATGTGCAATTGACCATTTTGCACACCATCCGGTCCAGCCATGTTCCTTTGAGCTTACTTTATTTTGATAGCAAAAATTCAATCCTATAAATGTGATGGGAAGAGCACGTCCAAAATTCGAAGCATATGGTGCATTTATAAGATTGTATGCTTCGGTATATAATCAAACATCCAAACCACGAAATAATGAGAATCTGAAAGCAATTAAGAAGAGAAACTTACACCTATCACCAACGCATGATGATTAGCATATGAGTGAGTCGGAATTTACCGGCGGGATTAACGTCGAAGACGGCGAGGACATCGGAGGACTCGTCGATCGGGGAGGTGAAAGGTTTGAGATTCCTCTTGCGGTAAGCGTTATAGGAAAACGCATTGGCAGCTACTGTGAGCGTCAGGAGCACACCGGCAAGCTTCGTCGCCGATATCAAGAGCCCGACGAGAACCATTTCCGCTTCCGGTAATGAAAGCAACTGAAAAGTTGCAGAAAAAACTAGTATTAAATTCAAATCATTTTTGAATATTTTTGAATGATAAAAATGAGATGCAATAGAATATAGAGATTATATTATTTTAAGGTAAAAAACATCACTGCTTTACAAATTTCGAAAGACTTCTTTATAGACTACATTATTGTACAATTTGTGGGAATATTTATAGTATATTTAATTGTAATAGGCTATAGGCTATTATAATTATAATTATAATAAGAAGGGTTAACTTTTTTCGAAACTCGGTGTATAATTATTCTTACCATAATTATTTTTTTCCGAAAGTGGGTGTATAATTGTATAACTTACCTTTTTTAATTATTTCCAATTTTCGAAAACTTACTCTTTACATTTGTATAACTTACCTTTATTAAAAACTTACGCTTTTGATTTGTATAACTTACGCTCTGCAATTTTATAACTTACCTTTTTTAATTATTTCCAATTTTCAATATGTTAATTATTATATATATATTAATTATATTAACGTCACACTTACCATTTTATATTGCTCACGTTAATTATAATTAAAATAATAACTATATTAACTTCACACTTACAATACGTTAATTAATTATTATAAAAATCATAGCTATTATTATATTTATACCTTTTTTAATAATTATAAACCCACAATTTCGGCCACTTACTATTTTAACAACACAATTATTTACTTACCTTTTGGCCATTTTATAATTATTATAAATATAATAATTATAATAATTATTACTACAATTTCGGCCACTACAATTATTAACTTACCTTTTTTAATTAGTTCCAATTTTCAATACGTTAACTATATTTATAGCTTTTTTTTTAATAATTATAACTTCATAATTTTGGCTACTTACCATTTTAACTTCACAATTATTAACTTACCTTTCGGCCATTTTATAATTATTATAAATATAATAATTGGTAATAACTTCACAATTTTGGCTATTATATTTATAGCTTTTTTTAATAATTATAACTTCATAATTTTTGGCTACTTATCATTTTAACTTCATAATTATTATATTTATAATAATTATAATAACTATTACTACAATTTTGGCCACTACAATTATTAATTTATTTTTTTAAATTATTTCCATCAATACGTTAATTATTATATTTATACCTTTCTTTAATAATTAGAACTTCACAATTTCGGCCACTTACCATTTTTACTTTACAATTATAAACTTACCTTTCGGCCATTTTATAATTATTACAAATATAATAATTATTGCTATAATTTCGGCCACTACAATTATTAACTTACCTTTATTTAATTATTATAAATATAATAATTATAATAATTATTACTATAATTTTGGCCACTTACCATTTAACTTCGCAATTGCCATTTATAATTGTCATACTCTTTGGGTGGAAAAATCATATGTTGACTCCATGTCTTTTTAAATAAAGTATGGATTCCATAAATGATCTCTTCTAAGTTGTTCTAATTCTAAGAAATACGGAGTATAATATTTTATCATTTTTTATGTTTATGGTTCTCATTTTTAGAAATTATCTCATAATCACGAAATTGTTCTTTAGGTCAAATATGACCAAATATTTTTATATATATAATCCTCAAAGTATTGATTATGAAACACAGTAGTTTTATAAAAATAAAAAAATCATGAATATAATATTTAAAAATAAATTAGAGACTAATTATGGAAAATCATCTGTTATAATAAATCCTTTATAAAATCATTTTACAACAACGTGGTAGGGTGTTTAACTCCTCTACTAATATTATATCAAATATTTCAATTTGGTATGAGAATTTATGTTGTGTCGATCTTGATCACAAATCTGAAATATCGGTTTGAGATGGTTAAATATCGGTTTCCGTAAAAATCGGAATAAATACATATGTACTTAGTTTACACTTTAAAATTTAAACCCCTTTATTTTTAAAAATAAAAAGTACATTTAAATAAAAAAACCCTAAAAACTAAAAAATAAATAATAAAATGCAAGAAATGCTTATTAAAGCTTAATTTCGAATGGTGCGAGCTTGAGGATAGAAAAAAATGCTTATCCTCAGGCCTCCCTCTGCCCTTTATATTTCACAAACTAAAAAAATGTATGATAAGAAACTAATATTTTGAATGTTTGTTAATATTTTTAATAGAGTAAATTACATAATTGGTTCTTTATAACAAGGGGTTTCCATATTTAGTCTTCTATTATCAAATATTACTCTCGTAGTCCTTTTATGGGTGCTTTTCCACAAATGGTTCTTTTTTAATCTTCTGTCATGTTGGTGTTAATTTACAGACTAAAAGTATAATTTGGTATCAACTTTATGACCAAGGACGTATTCTGATATTAGTTAGACGAACAACACAAAAATAATGACTATGACTTTGAGCTAGGATTTCGATGAAAGACCGCATTTGTAAACTATGGTTGTAGTAGAAAGTGATTGTAATTACAAATAATGCATCAGAAGCGGCCTTTGAAATTGTATATTATTTTCAAATAATTTTATATGAAAAATAGTGTAAAATTAAAAAATAAAAATTACATATTAAAAACTATATCAAAAGATATATAAAACTAGTGATGACATAACTAAATTAATTTATCAAATGACTAATGAAAATTGGAAAAAAAGTGAATAACGTTTGACTTGTGAATAGTAAACAGAAAATTTAATTTGGGACGGAGGAAGTAACATATTAGTATATATGTTGGTTTCGAGATTTTCAGTATGGGAAGTTATCTCGTACCGTTTCAAAATATCGTATCGTACCGATCATCAATTCGATTTTTTTCTGTTGCGGTATTTTTTGGTATTCTCGATTTTTTGTGAAATTCCTGCATCGGTTCGGTACTTGTTCACTTCTAACAAAAATAAAAAATTGTACAGAAATGATATTTAGACATCTACGGTTTAAAGTTGATTGAAACAAGGCTTTCGCCGAGTGGTATGCGAGAGCGACTCCACGGAGGCACTACGGATGGTATCAGATCTGTTTCCTGGTGCTCTCCATTGCCTCCACACCAGTGGCGGACCCACATTGAGTCCCATGGGGTCCCGGGACCCCACGAGCCTCCATGTAGGATTTTATATGTATTGATTATTTTGATGTTATATATGTAAATGAAAAGCCTCGTGGTAAGCAATGTCCCGTGTAATGTAGCGGAGCACATCCCTCATGGTGAGTGCCGAACATCTGAGTCTCGTGTTCGAATCTCGCTCCAAGCCTCCAACCACTGGCCTCATGGTGAGTTAATACACAAGATTTATTTATTTCTTGAGTTTTGACTAGAGGCTTCATCACAAAAAAATAGTTTCAATTTCAAATACTTTGACAAAAAAACTTCAATGATCATTACAACATTTTGGGCAAGAGGGCTCTCGGTCCGGTCCCGGACCTAACGGAGAACTATATGGCCCCAAATATATTGGTATCATAAATATTTTGACACACTTCTAATAGAAATGAAGGATTATTACCCGAAATTTTACTAACAACAAATGAAACCTACCACAAAGTGTAACAAACCATTTAGTGTTTTGGTAAGGATTTTCAAAAGACCGGCGCACAATGATGTCACATCTGAAGCCATCGCGCGAGCTGCGTGGGATTTACCACACCGGGGATGTGGGCCTCGTCGCTCTTCAACAGGCTCGCCACCTCATCATATGTTCGGCTCCTCACCTCGTTCGGCTCGGCTTCGGCAGCCGGGTTTCCTCTTCTCACCTCATCTGCTGCACCACTGTTCCTCAGGGCAGCCTCGGCTCGAGCCCGGTCGAACATCTGGCCAAACATGGTTCCTTTAGTTAAGAACTCATAAGCCATGTAACCGGCTAAGACCCGGTTCGAGTAGACTGCTGCGGACTCAGCTTGCTTAGACGACGTTGTAGCCTTGTGACTAACTGGATATGATGATGGCCACATGGAATTATAAGATGACATTTCCTTCTCTTTCTGTTTCCGTGACGCTCCAGGTGGCAAGATTCGCCGTGGTTGAGAATTCATCCTCACCGTGGATTCCATTTATTCTAATATTACCGATCAAAAAGAGAGTGCCAGCCACTTCAGCATAGAGTTTTCCTTAACCCCTAGAACAAAAAAATGATCATTCGCTTAAAACTTAGTTAAATATACTCTATACATTACAACAACAACAACCGAGTTGGATCCCGCGAAAGTAGGGTGTTGGGAGGGTGTGTGTACGTAGACCTTGCCCCTACTTAAAAGTAGAGAGGCTGTTTCGAAGAGACCCCCGGCTCAAAAAGATCACAAGAGATATATAAAATAGAGAAAACGCAGATAAATCGCCAAGCACACATGGCAATGAACAAACTAAAGTTAACAAAGGCAAAGTACTGCAATCATATTTTACCAACCATTCAAGGCATATAACTATGTGCACATAACTAAAACATTGTTTCAAGCACCGTAAAGCTAATCCGTCTACATAAAGAAGCAAAGACTAAGATATAAGAAAATTAAAGTGGAATGAAAGAAAGGAAAAATTGGAGAGACTTCACATGTAGAGCATTTGGTCAAAAGTTTTTTAACGAAAAAAGAATGATTTTGGGTGTCGCTATAAATGCGGCAAGTTGAGGCTTCACAAACACAAACACTCAATTTGGAACAATAGGGTGTATGCCTCAACACAAAACAACTTTGGGAGTGCGCAAATGGGTCTATGAAATCAACAAACTGCCGAACGGAACGGTTAAACATTAGTACATTACAGAGCCCAACTTGTTAGTTTACAACATTTTCTTGATGGTGATCTTCAAAAGGGTATATATGAAACTTCCCAAGGGGTTTTCAATGTACTCTAAGACTTAGATTTTTATTTGTAAATCTTCCTTAGAGGAGAATGAAAACAGTTTTTTATTTCTCTATAATTTGAACTGAAAATGTTCATTTTTTTCAAACTAGCAAACCAAAATCTTTGCAACAACAAAAAAACTTTGGCAAAAACTGACAAAAATGAAGAATTTGGAATGTTCTATGATAGATGTTACTAATATTTCAAAAACAGACAAACACATCCTAAAACCAAAAAAAGTATTACAAACTCACACACGCAAATCAATATGAAGAAGAAATGAAGAAATCAAAATATGAAGAAAAACAACAAAGAAAAGAACAAATGAAATAGGGTTCTATATTGATGATTTTGGAGTATGTACGATAACTTACAAGGTACAACCTAAAATTTTGGGTCGAAACGCAACCCAAATATTCCATCAAGCTCCACAACCTAACAAAGCCCTAAAGATTTTGTTACACCTTTCTAGAATTCTTCAAATGTTCAAATGTAAGGAAATGAGGTTAAAATAACAACAAAAACTTGAATTTAGAATGCATTTTTGTAAAATCTCAGTCATTTTTGTGTGTGAATTTCCCAATCATTTGTCAGCTAAAAGCCTAAAATTAGTAAGTGGACAATCAAATTCGGAGATAATATATAACATAATCAATAACATTACGATCTCAAGACTGAGAATATAACAAAACAAATACTTATCCAGAATGTGAAATTAAGATCTGCAGAGTATGGTTTCAGATTTAAAATTTCTAACATGAAAATATTCATCAATGACAGGAAACACCAACTGACTAATCGTGTAATGAAAACTAAGACTTAATTTTTGTCTCAGAAAATTTAGGTAATACTCCGTATGTATTAAGGTTGGAAATTAAAGCAACGAAAAGGGGGAATAGAGAGAGAAATACCTGGATGTGTTTGGAATGGAGATGAAATGTCGAAATGGAGGAGGCTAGACTCCAAACTCCAGAGCCAAACCGCACAAAGGTCAAGGGGTGTCCCTCTACCAAAAAAAAGAAGAAAGGAATGGGATGATAAAATATGAGGCCCATTACTAAGCGTTTTTCACTCATTCCGAAAATTAGATTTTAATCACAAATTGGTGATAATTAATATAATATACATGTGGTACTTGCAGAGGTCATATGTTAGCAAAAAAGATGTGATGATAAGATATTGCCGAGTAGTGAGTACTATGAAATTAATTATCAAATTTTATTTACTTTTTAGTCACTCCGTACATGATGAATATCACATTTTGAACATGTAAAATCAAATCCTTTTTAATATTTTTTTAATTACAAATTGGTATGGAAATAAAAAGTGTAAATTACACCTTTCAAAAGTACAAAAAAAAATCTATAAAAGAAAAGATGACAAGAATATTCTACTTTATCAAATTGTCAATGAAAAACCATACAAATAAACAAAAGTTATCGAGAGACCGTAATTATAACAGTCATCGGTGGCTCAAAGGGGTCTGCAAGGTGTGCACCCGCAAAGGCCCCCAAACTTTTAGTACCCGATATTATTATATGGTCATTATTTTAATTGCTTGATATTTTTAAATATAATTTAAATTTATATACTAATAATATAATTGTTAAAAAATGGTTATTAAAAATCAAATTTAAAACTACTTTTAAGGCACAAGTACTTTGCAAAAAACAAAGCAGGACCCCAACACGTGAGTTTTGCACAGGGCCAATTTCATTTTTTCACATTTCCGGGTCAGTCCTGGTAACAATGGTGTCCTTTTTTGGATGGAGAGATCATATTTTCATTAGTCATTTCTTATTCTAGAGGGTTTTTGATGCCTTTTTTAATGTATAAATTTTATTTTTAAATTTTATATGTATAATCAAATAAAAGAAATTAAAGATAAGTTTAGTCAAATTTTACAATGAAAAAGTAAATACCACAATAAGGAGAGTCTAGAGAGGGTGTTTATTCAAAAAATTACTCATACTTCAGAGTAGAGACATTATTTCCAAGAGATGCCCAGTACAAACTAGTAATGACCTTATTTAGTCTAGATGGTTTAAGAAAAATTAAGCCATAGAGTAGTTCAAAACATCCAATACAAATTCACGATACTCTAAATATGATGTACAAAAAGCATTATGAATTATCTACTTATTTACTTCACTCCACTAGTCCACTGAAGTAAGAATGGTTAAGCCAAACAAATGAATGAGACCAAGCACATCTATAAAAAAATCATGAAATACATTTATAACAGATTTTAAAATGGAAATATCAGGGCCGGTCCCGAGAATTCATGGGCCTGGGCTGAAACAAAAAAAAAGACCCTAAAATCGTATTCCTTATGGTCTAACAAATTAATATATGTAAACTAATTATATTTAAATAATAACTAATGCAATATTATTAGAAGAAAAAAGTAAATTAATATATCATAAATTCATATCAATTCGTCAATTTTTAGATTTTTGCTTTTCAGTTTTATTTTGTATATATATCATAAATTCATATCAATTTTTCAGTTTTTAAATTTTTTTAGTTTTCAGTTTTTTATGAATAAAATTATAAATATATCATAAATTCAAATCAATTCATCCAAATCAAATAAAGAACATATAGAACCATTAATTCATCCTATTTCATAGCAATTAGCAAATATTTCTAATTAAAATTAAATAATTAACCCTAAATTTTAAATCTAAAGAATGAAAAAATGAAAGAAAAAAAATTTAAAAATTGGAAAGCTATGAATACGGAATACCTGGAGGCCGGAGGGTCGGCTCCCGGCGGCGTCTGGACTCTGGCGGCGGCGGCGTCTCTCTACCGGCCCGGCAGTTTTCCGATTTGGCGATTTTGTTCGGTCGGCCTCTCCACCTGCGGATGTGTATTTTTTTAAAAGGGTGAGGGGCTTGGCATATAGGGCTATGGGCTTCTTATTGATTTTTAAAAGGGCTTTTTCTAATTTAAAAGGGTTAGACGGGCCTTGGCATATTGAGCTATGGGTTTCTTATATAAATAAATAAAATATTTAAAACAATTGGGCCCTTAAATTCATGAGCCCGGTCCGAGCAGACTGTTTGTCCTCCAATTGGGCCGGCCCTAGGAAATATGATTTAAAACAGTAACAAAAAGTGCATATTTCAATTTTGTCCAATGAAAATAGAGTGACTCTAGAAAAAATCTATAAAATTTAATATAAGTAATATTAAAATACATATAATTCAATGTAATATAATAAATCATATTTCTAATGCATTTTAAAAATCTCTAAAAAAAATCTTGATAGAAATAATTAGAGTGGTGTTTCTGATTCTGAACACATGGTCATAGATCTAATAACATACTTATTCATTACAGATAAAAATTGAGCATCATATATGGATAAACTAAACAACGATTAACTTTTTTTACCGAGAAGAATGAAAATAGAGCGTGGAAAAATCATGGGAGCGTTAAAAACTACTTGTAGGTTCTGCAAAGATAAAGGTCCGGAGACTAAGAGTGTTCATATTTAGGTCCAGATCAAAAAAACTGATCGAATCCGATAGGTCCAGACCAAACCCAGACCCAATAAATTTCGGGTTGGTCTTCCGTCTAACATATTTAGCAGTTTCCATCTGATCCGCTCTAAGCCCGATTCCCAATCGGTCTAACGTTTCCGAAATGCGCAACAGAGGCCACTCGCCGTCCCCGCCGATCTGATTCTCTTCCTCTCCAATCTTCTTCTCCATCATCTTCTTCCAACAATCTCCACTCTCCAGACGGATTCCACTCTCGCCATCACATCCAGGTATTTCTCTCTCTACTCTCCCTTTTCGCGGCTTTATTTTCCAACCTTAATCCGTACGGAGTATTATCTATATTTAGTCTAAACCCTGATTATTGTGGTATTTACCTGTTCATTGTCGTTGTTCTAAGGTATTTACTTGTTCCTCTTTGATGCCATAATAATTCCATTGGGGTTTTTTCTTTAACAGTTTTATTTTATGATTTAAATATAGATGTCTCTCGTAATGTACCAAACTGGTGATGACGCCTTGGATACCTATTTGGTTGTTAAAACAGAGCATTTTAGAGCATAACATAGCTAGTTTGTTTTTAATTAAATTACATATGGTTGTGAATTTGAGGTTATTTGTGTACTCCATCCTCAAATTTGTTTGTGATCATGCATCTCGTATTATAGTATACAGTAGATGTTAATTCATGTTATCCATATGGATTCATATACTTGTGTGCTCTTCTACGAGTATAGTCCCTCGAGCCTCGACTATCCAAACAATATTATTCAATTCGGTGCATAATTTTTTTGTCACTTGAAATTAGTCTCTCTACTTTCGAGTAAGAGTAACTCCAAATCCTATTTTTGTAGGATTTAACTGGGTTTGGTGTTGTTGGTGTTGGTGCGTAACTCTTTTAAAGACTCAATTTGGTCCTCTTTATAATACTCTTTTTGGGAGTACAATTTAGATCCAACCCATTTAAGTTCTCATGTATATTTGGGTCTAATGCAACTTGGCTCTTTGGGGTATGATGGAATAATGCAAATTGGCTCTTTAAACAATCTGCACTACTTGTAATTGTGAAGTAGCAATTAGTCAATGCAACTTTTGACGCTCATCATGGGTCATTTGGAAACAACCGTTCTACGTTTTAAACATGGGGTCACACTGCGTACATCTGACCCCCCCCTCCTTATCCCGCAATGGGCGGGAGCCGTTGAGGCACTGGGGTAATGTTGTTGTTGTTTGTTGTATATTTGGTTGATTCATTAAATGTAGGCTGATTGAGGACTCCAACTTGTTCTTCAACAATGTAATATACCCTTTTAATTGAGTTTTAAGGTCTTCTTACTTGCCTTTATGGATGAACTAATGATTAATAGACTGATTTTTTTTCCTGGTCACAAGTTAAAAAGAAAATGTATCTCAAGTCAAGTTTGTCATGGAACGTTGTGATCCCAGCCGAGCATCTGGATGCCAAAGGATTGATGCTCCAAAAGGCCATCATTGTTCGTCTATTGGATGATTTTGCTTCGAAGAAGGCCACAAAAGCCCTGGGCTACTTCCTGGCAGTGACAACAATGAACAAGATTGGAGAAGGCAAAATCAGAGAGAACAAAGGAGACGTGCTGTTCCCTGTTGAATTCAACTGCATCTCATTCAAGATCTTCCGCGGAGAGATTCTAGAAGGTGTTGTGCACAAGATCCTCAAACACGGCGTTTTCCTGAGGTGTGGGCCCATTGAGCACATCTACCTCACCCACCAGAAGATGTCTGATTACCGTTACATCCCCGGAGAAAACCCCATCTTCATGAGCGACAAGATGTCGAAGATCGAGAAGGAAACTGTGGTCCGGTTCATTGTGATCGGGGAGAAGTACGTGGAGGCCGAGAAGGAGTTCCAGGCTGTCGTGAGTTTGGAGGGAGATTACCTTGGACCGGTTTCACCGGGCTCGGTTTGAATCTTGTTTATCAGATGCATGTTTAAGATGATGTTAGGTATTAAGGTATCGACTTGTGTTGTGTAGGGTAAGCTGTATTTGACCTTTGTAAAAAAGATTATGCATATTACCTTGTAGGGTTCAAGGCTGACCTTTAGTTCATGCTGTTTGTGGACAGTTTCTGGAGCTTAAGTTTTGGGGAAAGTTAATTTTGGGTTTTTTTCATGGGCATTTGTATTTTTAGATTTGCTTGGTTGTCGTTCATTGGGCATTTGTAATTTTGGGTTTTTTTCATTGGGCATTTGTAATTTTGGGTTTTTTTCATGCTGTATTTTTACATTTGTATTTTCAGAATTTGTGGGCATTTTAATTTTGGGTTTTTTTCATGGGCATTTGTATTTTGGGTTTTTCGTTTGGCATCACACCTTTGCTAATGGGCGTATGTGAGATTGACCTTTTTTCGTGAGGTGTGAAATGGGATACCAAATTTGTATTCTCACTTGTAGATTAGTGTATCACAGACACACAAACAAAAATTGTATATGTGTTCGAATACACTTGGCGTACAAGTTGGGATACAAATGAGCCCTAGAAGGTAGAGGTTAATTAAATCAAATAACTAGATGGAAATTAAGGATGTGTTTGGTACACGAAATTGATAGAATTAGAATTGAAAGATGAAATTTTATGAAATTGAGTTTTCCAATTCCAATTCATTTTTGGCAATACCAATTTCAAATTCACATATTTTTGTACTGCCAAGCAGTAAAATTGCAATTGTTGTCCCTAATTTTAATTTGACATTTTAAATTTCGTGTATCAAACGGAGCCTAATTTCATAGTCCGGTCTTGCATGTAATTGAATATTTTTGCAAAGTGGTTTTCAACTGTCCCCCACTATTCTTTGAGTGTAAAATACGTCTTTAACCTTGTATGGTATTTTCTAACATTAGTCGCAGTTCTGATGATATTGAGATTAACGTCATATAATGACTTCGAGATTCCTACAGTGTTCTATTCGATTCAAATAATTGAAGATTCTACCCCCAACCCCCCTAAATCCCCCAGCCTCCCAATACCTCTACCCCTCTCTCCCTTCTCAATGATCACAGGAGCAAATACGCTATATGAAGGGTGGGAGAACGTAGGGGGTGCAAGGGGTTTAAAGGGAGTTGGGAGACTGGTCCGACTAAAAAGTGAGAATCCAATTTAATAAAGTGATGTAGGCACCATAGTTAAGGGCTAGATGCGATTAATTTCCCTTGTCAGTTTACTCTAAATTTGTATAGCATGGTAATATAATAAAATCCAAGTTTGAAAGTTCTCAACGAGGTAAATCTAATAAAATTATTCTTTTATTAATATATTAATATACATTACAATTTTTATTTAACTAAGATCCAAAAATATCTTCATATTTAATTTGTAAAAATCAAACTTGACGAATAAATTGGGACAGAGGTAATACATGTGTCCACCTAGTAAAAAATAAAAGGTGAAATGTCTTTATACATTATAATAAATATTTAATTCATATGTACATTAAGTGTAATTAAATTTAGGTAATCAATATAGAGAACAGATAGTATTATTAATAAAATATCTCATCCTTACAAAATAATAATAATAGTAATAATAATAATAATAATAATAATTCTTGATCTGATCTGATTAGATCCGATCTGGTCTGATCTGATTTTAATAAGAATAAGAAAAAAGCAGAAAAAATAAGTTGAATAGAACGAAGCCTAAATTGAGACAAGTTTAGATATTATTGGAGTATTTATTATTTTTGTTGTTTTGGCCCATAGTTTTTATTGGGCTCATAGCCTGTGTAAATTGTATATATATTGGTCTTGTGCTAATGGAACTCCGAAAAGTTATTTTCTAAAATTCTACTGAATAAAACGGCATATGTAGCTTTCAAAAAAAACGGCATATGTAGTCACCCCTAATTTTTTTAAACCCCATCTAAGAGGATGGAGGCCACAATTTACTAATCGTTCATTCGTTTGGTTGGAGAGAAAGAGAAGAAAAGAAATTGGGATTCTTATCCCATTCTCATCATAGGATTAAAAAGAAAAAGGAGAGAAATGAATAAAATGTTTTGGGGCCCACGCGAAAAATCCTCTCTTCTACCAGGAGAAAGGAAGAAAAACCAAAATAAGACTAAAATATTGAAAATATATCAAAATAGGACTTTCATATTTTTATTTTCGAAATAAGATTTACATTACAGAACATGGTCATGTACATTTCCAAAAAATATAGTAATGTGAACATGTACAATGCCACATTACCACAGTGCAAAATCCTATTTCAAGAAAAAAAATATGAAACTCTTATTTTGATTATTTTCTCTATGTTTTTGTCCTATCTATGGTGATTTATAAAGGAGAAAACCGTACAGTGAGAAGTGAAAATGCTCCACATTACAAAATTGTCATTTACTCTTTAAGTTCGTGAGAATAAAATCTTTATCTTTATCTTTATATATAAAATTTGAGAGTTGGGCTTCTAAAATAATAACATTTGGCACTTTGACTCGACATTTTTTAAACACCTCAATAGCCATGTCATCATTGACTTTTATGGATTATTTTATGCATTGCCTTTAAGACTAAATTTTTTTGAGGGATGACTTTTAATTCTTCGCGCAAGATAAAAAAAATCATTTCTTCTTCTGTGAAATTGGCCAGAAGAATTTATGGTATTAATTGTTATAAAAGTTTTACGATAAAAAAATGTTCTTAAATACTATTTTTTATATTCTTGGTTAAAAATTAAGTATTATATTCTTAAATGATACACACTTTATTTATAAAAAATACATAGTGTTTGAAAATTACTCTGTATATAAGTTATTTATTGCTAAAAGATAGAAAAATATTTAATATTTACGTTCTTAAAGATAGTATTACGAATATGTAAAGGCAAATGAGTTATACATGACCCGTAATGCCTTTTTTAAAATAAGACATGCCTCATTTATATAAAAATCCAAAAAAATATCATCTTAGAATTTAACATTATTTTTTACGTACTTTTGTACTCTTCAAAAAAACCACTAGCAATTTGATATTGGAAAAAATAAACAAGCATTAAATTCATATTAAAATAAAAATAGATATGTATGTGAAAACTATTTGAAAGAGATGAATAAAAGGTATTCAAATACTTTTTTCCTAAAAACAAAATAACGTAACCCCAATTTTTAAATATTTCTTAAAAAAATAAAATATATACTGCATATATTAAAAGACAAAAAATTATAAATTAATAAGTAATCCATTTTTATTATATAACACATGTCTTGTCAATATTGAAATCCTTTAATATAATATTTGAGAGTTGATAGCTTAGAATTTTGACACATGTCACTTACAGAATTTTATTTTAATTACACATCCTTCCACGCGTCATTTGTTGGAGAGCCGTTCAACCTTTTTCAGTTTTTCATTCACCGACCAAATTTTGAGAAAGTTTCCTTTCGTTCCAGGCAAATCGGCGAAGAAGGAACCGCAGGAAAATCGCGGATCTATTGCGTCCAAAACAGAAGCTTCCTTCTTCGTCCCATCCCAGATCAATTGCAACTTTCCTTTCTTCGCAACAGGAAAATCGCCGAAGAAGGAACCCCAGGAATATCGCAGATCTATCGCTTCCAAAACAGAAGCTTCCTTCTTCGTCCCGGATCTATCGCGTACAAAACAGGTATCTTTCTTCCATCTTCGGAAAGACTCGAAATTACCACTGATTCGAAATATTTATTCTTTTTTTTTGTATTTATGTATAATCGATTAATCGAACTGAATCCGGGATTGATATTAGGTTTCTTTCCAATACATTATTTTAATTTTTCATCTTTGCAAAAAAAAAACTCAAATCATACGGAGGGATTTAGTGAGTTAACAAATTAGATTTTTGCCTTAAAAAAATACGATTTTTTTTATTTTTCAACCACAGCCCTGTTTTTTTCCTATTGAATTTTTTTTCCTTATTCCTCCATAACACATTTTTAAAAAAGATGACTATCCATCCTTTGTCCAAAATAAATCCAACAAGTGAGTGTTGGAGAATCATGGTTGGTGTCGTGAGACTATATACTTTGCCTGTATATAATGATGACAAATTCTATTGAGATGGTGTTCATGGACGAACATGTAAGTCAATGAAACATTTATAATTTTGCATATGATTTTACTTATGTGTATATGATTTATTCAGTTCATAGAAAAGAATTAGGCCTGTTTCTGTGTGAAACCTTAAATATGGTTCATGCCAAAACCAACCGTAAGTGACAAAGGATGAACTTTTTTTATAAACATTTTTAGCTCTTTGTATTGATGTTCTTTAAATAAATAGTGTTTGATGAGATTGATCCAAATGCTTTGAATGCATCAATTACTTGCAAAAACTGTAAAAAATTAAAGTGTATGATGTGTTTGATTCTTTGACAACTTTTTTTAGTTATTTGTAATCATGTTTCAAAAAACATATAGTGTGGTGTTATTAAAAATATTGAGTTTTTGATGTGTTTGAACTATTGGATCTAAAGTCTTTGAGATTAGAGATATCAAAATAGAGAAAGACTAAAGACTAGAGAAAGACTATCAAGAATGAAGTTGGGGATGAGTCGAGCAAGAAGATGAAGGATATCAAAATAGAGAAAGACTAAAGACTAGATATTTCATTTTATGGTTTTGATGGATCCGTAGGTTGATTAAATAAGCATTTATTTCATTTGTGCCATAGACAGTTTGTGATTTATAACTATTTGGTTTTTTGATGCATTACTATATAATTTAAACGCTTTTAAAGATTTTCTTTCTTCCATTTTGGCCATTTATATCTATATACTGCATCGCATCATGTACATTTTTTTTAATTCAATTCATATTAATCTTCTTGCTTTATATTTTTGCTCAACTTCCGTATGTTGAAGACTAACTTAAGGGTTTACTTGATACTTTTTATTGTTTTCCAATGGCGGATTCATAAAAATTCATTTAATTTATATAAATAATAATTACGATATGAAAGTGTAGTTCATAAATGTAAAAAAATTATCAAAATATTGTATAACTAAGCTAAGAGAATGTATGGATCTTTAACGAGTTTCAAATCGTAGATACTTAAAAAGTTGGGTATCAAACTTGCTTCGATAAAACATATAAAGAGAATAAAAAATACTATTTTTAAAGTCTATCAATGATAAAATTTTGAACTCACTATTAAGAGTTATCACAATCTAAATTTCAAA